TTCCCGTCTGGTGCCTGGGGTTTTGCAACTGTTTTAATCTTAATGGCCTACTTCAAACACTTGCCTCTGGAAAAGGCATAAAAGGGCTGTTCTGTAAAATCAGCCCAGTAGAGGCGGCAAATACGTAATGAAACTCACGTGACTTGGGTGACTGAGGTCCTGCAGGATTTCAGTCTGTCATTCAAAAGAATATTTTGAGTTCTTGTGGCCATTTGTGTTTGGGTGATGTCCTTAGCAGCTCTTGGAAAGCTGCTGCCTCTTCAGGATCTGCAGAACCCAAACTTTTTATTTTTTTTTACTTAAACTCATACTGTGAGGATGTGCTGGATGTGAAGTAGCTGAATCTTTAGATTCCGGTTTTTATACGTTTTCAGAGGAGCAAGATGGAGAGGATCTTGAGAGAAGGAAGAGGAGGAGGAAGGCAACCAAACGGAAAAGAGAAGGGAAAAGTCAGGAAGAAGAGGGGTCTTTGTCCTGCGACATCAAGCTGGATGATACTCTGGATCGCACCTTAGAAGATGGAGCTAAACAGCACAACCTGACGGTTGTCAACGTGCGAAACATCCTGCATGTGAGTGTGGTGGGACTGGGCCGGGGAAACTCGCTGTTCCTTGTTTTGAGGGAACTGTTTCGTAATAAAACCCTGATGGGAATTCTAGAGATGCTGACAGAAAGGAATTCCTCTTAGTTAATGACCCCAATCAACCTTTTGGTCCGTCACTCAACTTCCAGTTAGCCAAGAACTGCAAGAACGTCTGTGCTGTCACAGCTGTGTATGAAATGCCAGTTCTGCGCTGAGGTGTAGCTTTCATTTTATCCCTTGAGCAGAGTCTGGAGAACAAGAGTGCGTTATTCTCCCCCAGGATCAAAAACCGTGTTGAGTTGTTTGGTGGAGTTGGTTTTTTTCTTTTTCTTTTCTTTTTTTTTTTCTAGCTAGTGTTATTCTAATCCGGGTGATCTCAGATGGTTGGTTTTTCTGGTCCAATCGCTGAACAATCTTGTTTCTTTTTATTGTAGTGAATTACAAAGTGTATTGGACACCAAATATTTCTCTGTCATGATTCCAAGTAGTTTATTTTAACCTTAGGCCTGTTTCTTTTTACCAATCCGGATGTAAAGGATACTTTTCTTACGTCCCTGTAGGAAGTGATCACAAATGAGCACGTCGTTGCCATGATGAAAGCAGCCATCAGTGAGACAGAAGATATTCCTTTGTTTGTAAGTCAAAAAACTTCCTCAGTTTGGTTCTAAATGCACGATACCGTCGCTGGTCTGTCTCCTTGGGTTGTGATGTGGTATGGAGAGAATAGGTGGTGCCATAATCTGCATTTTATTACCAGATTTATTGCCTGGATAGAATAGTGTGTGAGTGTAAATTATGAAACATGATTATGAGGGGTTATTTTTGATGTCACTCTGATTTTAGTCTAAAAGGTAGTGAATTTGAAAAAAATTCAAAAGTCTTGTAGTGAAGAGATGCTGGGGAAGAGTTTGTGGTTAAGGAAAAGAGCTGAAGAGGTTGCTGTTGTCTTGTTTTAAACTCTCAGGAGCCCAAAATGACTCGTTCCAAACTGAAGGAAGTTGTGGAGAAGGGAGTGGTGAGTACGTCTTTGGATTTTATTATCGTGCCTTCCCCACTGCCCAAATGGTTTTGATTGTTGATCTTCTAAAAGAAATGTCAAGTCTACTTTCGTGGGATCTATTCTTAATATGAGAACAGAAGTTTAAAACAAACTCCCTCGCTTTTTTAGTGTTTTGTGTTTTAACATATTTTTTTAAGTGAACAGAATAGATCCAAATCAGAGTTAGAAAATACAGTGAATTAACACTATTGATGATCCTAAAGCTGTTGCCTGCGGAGAGCACGGGGGCGGTTTAAAAGCCTTTGTTTGATGCCCGTTGTTACTTGGCTCCTTCGGAGAACGAGGCCTCAAGCTCAAGTTCTCATCTGACTGAATCGATTATCTCAGCTGTGCGACGCCGTGCTTCTCCGGAGACAGTTACGGTGCTTTTGTCTTCTTTAGGTGATTCCAACATGGAATATTTCTCCCATCAAGAAGGCAAATGAGGTGAAGGTGAGTGAACCGGGAAATCGGAAACCGTGCTAGGGACAGCCTGCTGATCGAGGAACCTTTTTTTTGGGGAGAGTGGAACAGACTCATGCCTGGCACATTGAGAGTTTTGGTGACCGGGGGCGTTGCAAACAGGGTGTGTGAGGCAGGACAAGGCAGGTAACCCAGCAGTGGGTGCACAGAGGGCCTGAAAGAGCCGCTTGTGGGATCAAACAGAACTCGATGAGGTGGTGACGTGCCTTAGGGGTGTCTTTTCTCCTGCGTGGTCCGGTTGCCCGCTGCAGCAGCCTCTGCCCGGGTGAAACTCCGGGTGGTGAATGCCTCTGGCCAGGCCTCCTGCTGCGCTGTGCTCCTCCCTGGGATGGTTTCATACACTGTAGGACTGCCTGGAAACATAACGTGGATGTGAAATGTTTTTTGGAGCTCTGTCTGCTCCAAAAGACGTGTTACCTAGGTATAGGCAGGACTCAGCGGTGTAGCGGGAGCTCCAGATTCTGGAGCTTTGTATTGTGCTGTGCTCCCATCCATAAATCCTACATCATCTGTGCCTGTTCTTAACATGTTTTCCAACCACTTAGATGGCTTTGCCAGTCTTATTTCAGTAATTTCTTCTTCTCCTTCCTTTCTGCACGGTATTTCCTCAGAATTCTTTGATCTGAGGGTGCACGGTTAGAGTGCAACTCTTCATCTTGCCTGTAAAAAGTTGTTCCTGTAAAAAGTTGTTGCTTTTTTTTCTGTTCGTTGCAGCCTCCTCAGTTTGTGGACATTCCACTTGAGGAAGATGATTCGTCTGATGAAGAGTACCAGCCTGAGGATGAGGACGAGGATGAGACCGCAGAAGAGGTAAACGTAACGTCCAGAGATCCCTTCCGCTCAGCGGGGAGTTCCCCGCGTGTTTGAGGAAGCACAACGCCCTATTTTAACACCTGGGAACTCATAAGCCATTCCGTATGTTTTGGCAACCTTTCTTTAGTACCATGTTATTTATTTGGCTAAGGGAAAAAAAAATAAAGAATCTTTGGAATATTAGTTGAAGCAATGTTTGATTGATGGTAGAAGCCTGGGAGTTTTTAAGGCCAGGCTGGATGAGGCTCTGGGCAGCCTGATCTAGTGGGAGCTGTCCCTGCCCATGGCGGGGGGTTGGAATGAGATGATATTTAAGGTCCCTTCCAACCCTGACAATTCTATGACTGTATAATTTGATTGCATTCTGTGTCTTTTGCCCTACAGAGCTTGCTGGAAAGCGATGTGGAGAGCACCGCTTCTTCTCCTCGGGGAGCCAAACGATCTCGGACGAGGCGATCGTCTGATGAAGAGGGAGGGGTGCTCTGTGAGGTAAACTTGCGAGAGAGGTTTTGTTTTCTTCGGAAACGGCTTTTTCGGTCATTATTCCTAAATCGTTGAGGCAAAAAGCAAAAATATGTGTTGTTGCTTAAAGCTGTGGTGACGTTACGGGTGCTCGGTGGCTTTAGGGTCACAAAACGCTCGTGCAGTGGTTCCTGCGTAAGCGGTGAAGTGCAGCCCTTGCAGAAAACACTTAGCCCGAAGTAAACACGAGTACTTAAAAAAGCACCATCAGTGGAAATAATTGGCTCTTCTTCAGATAATGATTATTTTTCAGACGATGTTTTGAGAGGAGTACAGGAGAATCGCTTTCTCTGCTTGACTCAGGAGGAGAAAGTGACTTTGATAAAAGCATAAAGGTACTTGCGGTGCTGTCAGATCAGTCTGAGGAGTACGCGCAGTGTGGTAAGAGCTGAGTCTTGGCAGACAAGAACGAGAAAGTGGCTGTGAGAGCTGACCACTGGCACTGGGATCGGAGGAAGGACAATACCATATCGATATTTCCACGGTGTACTCGCTGGGGGGTTGTTTTTTGGGAGGGTTCAGAGTGTTTCACGGTGAGATTTATCAGCTCTAGTAAATGTTGAGACTGATACTCACAGCTTCCAAATGTCTCCTTTCGTGCAAGTCTTTTGGATAGTAAATTTATTTGTATTTTCTGAAAATCAAAGCGAGCGTAATGCGAAAGACCCGTTCCCTTCTGTGAAGCGTCTCTCATTTCTGTTGCGCTAGACTCTAGTCAAGCAGAGATCGATTCTGTCCTTGGGAAATGTATGTCAGAAATAAACCCTTTTAACACAAAGGCCTTTTTAATTAGATGGAGAAGGTTACCGCACCTGTTGTTAGACACATTAGCGCTGAAGTAGTTCCCATGGGACCTCCGCCGCCTCCGAAACCGAAGCAAAACAAAGACAGCACGTTCATGGAGAAGCTGCACGCGGTGGATGAAGAATTGGCTTCGAGCCCAGTGTGCATGGACTCCTACCAGGTACTGGGGGTGCTGGGAGAGCCTGGGCTTGGTTTGAGTACAACGGGTCAGAGAAGAGGTCGCCTTCTGGCATTCTTCACTGTTGCTTTTGCTGCTTTCCGCTCTCCTTTTACAACTTGAACAAAGGAGTTGAAGTGTGTAGGATGCCAGCGCTCAGAAAACAGAGGGAGCAACTGAAGTGTAGTTAGTCCCGCGTGCTTGGCTTCTCGTATCATAACCACGCTTTCTGTTTATGCTCATAGGTCTCCCACTGTCGTGGTTTTTGACTGTTAAATGTGTTTCTGTTACATTTACCTAACTAATGGGAAGTAGCTTTCTTTTGAAAGATACCCTGTCAGCTCAGGTGTGTTCTGCTGGCAAGTACAGGCCATTTCTGTTTAACCATTTCTTTGTTATTGATCTTGACACAGAGTGTATCATCAGTAAGTTTGCAGGTGACGCCAGCTTAGAGGGGAGTGTTGACCTGCACAAGGGTGGGGAGGCCCTGCAGAGAGACGTGGACACATTGGATGGATGGGTCAATGTTAATGGGATGAGCTTCAGCAAGCTCAAGGGCCAGGTCCTGCCCTTGGGCCACAAC